ATTGGTTGCAAAGGGATTTCAACAAAAGGAAGGGGTTGATTACACTGAAATTTTCTCTCGAGTTGTGAAGTTGACCACTATTAGATTGGTGCTGGGAATTGTGGCTGTTGAAGATTTGTATCTTGAGCAAATAGATGTAAAAACGGCTTTTTTCCATGGTGATTTGGAGAAGGAAATTTACATGAAGCAACCACAAGGTTTCTTGGCACGTGGCAAAAAGGAGTTTGTATACAAACTTCGAAAAGCTTGTATGGTTTGAAACAGGTCCTAAGGCAGTGGTACAAGAAGTTTGATGGGTTTATGTGTAGCAGTAGTTTTACAATATGTCAAGCAGATCATTGTTGTTATTTCTAGAGGTTTGACAAAAGTTATATTATTTTGCTCGTATATGTTGATGATGATATACTTATCACAGGATCTAGCATTGAAGAGATAAAAAGATTAAAGAAACTTTTGTCCAATCAATTTAAGATAAAGGATCTTGGAGTTGCAAACAGAATCCTTGGTATGAGGATTTACAGAGACAAGGGAAATGGTACTTTGAAGTTGTCACAAGCTGAGTATGTCAAGAAAGTTCTTAAAAGGTTTAGCATGGATGGTGCAAAACCAGTGAGCACTCCATTGACTAACCACTTCAGACTTACCAAAGAGCAGTCTCTGAAAACCAAAGAAGAGCATGCTTATATGGAACATGTTCCATATGTTTTAGCTATTGGTAGCATAATGTATGCTATGGTTTGTACTAGACCAGACATTGCATATGCAGTGGGAGTGGTTAGTAGGTACATGAGTAATCCGGGCAAACAACATTGGGAGGCAGTGAAATAGATCCTTAAATACTTGAGTGGTACTATAGGCATGGCACTTTGTTTCGGACGAACCGACATCGGGTTACATGGTTATGTTGATGCAGACTTGGCTGATGATGTGGATAATAAAAAGAGTACTACTAGTTATGTTTATACATTGGGTGGTACAGCAGTGAGTTGGATTTCACAGTTACAGAAGATTGTGGCTCTTTCTACAACAGAGGCTGAGTATGTTGCCATTACTAAAGTTGGGAAGGAGATGACTTGGTTACAGAATTTCCTAGTAGAGTTGGGTAAGACGAAAGAGATGAGTATTTTGCATTGTAACGGTCAAAGTGCTATTCATCTTGCAAAGAATCCGGTTTTTCATTCTAGGACGAAACACATTTAACTGCGATACCATTTCATTCGTTCACTTATAGATTATGAAGTCTTGTCTCTTGAGAAGATCCAAGGCAGTAAGAATCCAGCATACATGTTGACCAAGACAGTCACCATTGACAAACTGAAGTTGTGTGCAACTTTAATTGGCCTTCAAGATTAATGAAGGAAAATCGAGTTGTTACGGCGTTCCTCTATGTGATGAAGATGATGGAGAGCTTGTGTTATTAGGTTCCAAGTGGGAGATTGTTGGGTTGATGGACCCTGATAAGTATTGTTCACTTAACCTTACTGTTCACTCAAACATTGGGTCCAATGGGAGGTTTGGGTACTTTCGTAATTCCCATGTGCTTCCATATAACCCTAATTCTATACTTATAAATAGATAAGGAGGCGCCTCTTTTAAGTTAAGAGAGAGCTGTATTTGTCTGATCATAGTGAAAAACTACAGCAGCCGTGGACATAGCCTTTTTCTAGGGTGAACCACGTAAATCCTTGTGTTCTTGTGTGTGTGATTTATTTGATTCATTTTTCTTCTTTGTTTGATATTTTGTGTCTCACCGATCTTGGTTAGGAAGAGTCAATTCCTAGCACATATCAACCTCAATCGTTCCTCCTTGATCTTCCTGTTATCTCTATAGTAATCACTTCTTTTACAAGCAAGTATAAGTCTTGATTTTCTGCCATTGTCTCTCACATCTAATGTCTTTATAACAATGACAAATCCGTTCTTCTTCCCAACATCAGAAGCCCATTTAATTAATGCTTCACGACTACGAAAAATCTAAAGATAATAAATACATTTATACGTCAAATTATTAATAAAACTCAATACAAATTAAAAATAAGAAAAAATCGTATTCATAAAAAAAAAAAATTAACAAACCTCGTCTATAATGAATTCATGACTAGAGTCCACTAATATTGTAGTACATGCGTTGTTGCAATGAGTATAAGTATAATCCTTTCAAGCAAAGAAATAAAAATATAAAAAAAATAAAATTGAAAATACATGGTAATGAGAAGCCGAACAAATTAAAAAAAATCGGTTTGGGGTTATCGAAAATGTATCTTTTATTCGGTTGTTGGTTATCAGACTTATATTTTTTGTTCGGCAATATGATGTCGGATTATTTTATTTTGTTCAATTTCGAACCATCGAACGAAAGTCGAATACCAGTCTAGAAAACAAAATAAAAATCTACTAATAAATAAAAAAAACTCATCATTTCACTTTTTTGATGGTTCTTCAACACTATTTTTTCATCCATTGCTTTCTTTAATGATCAAAATACTATGATTCTCACTTTTTAAAAAGAAATGTGTAAGAGAAAAGAAAAATTAAGAAAAGAAAAAGAGGAGTAGGGATTGAAAATCAAAAGGTGTAAGGAGATAATAAAATCTATTTAATTTTAATATGTCTTTAAAAGTAATTTTACACATGAATAAAATTAGAAGAAAAAAACTCATATAAAGCGTATAAAAAGGTAAAGTAATAATTTAAATAAAATCACACTTTCAAACGAGACCAGTCTGTCTACAAAATGCGCAAAACAGAATTTGTCAATCCAAAAAAATCAATGTGGGACCATAAAGATTAATAGTTTGGTACATAGAACATTCTGATAATTTCCTTTTTTAAAATATATATGAAAATCGGTACCTATCTTCTAAAATTCCCCCCAACCCGCTACCTGAAATATCAAAACAAGCTGCTCGAGAATTCAAACAATTTCAAATTAATCAATCAATGGTTACGCTTCTACTGTTATACGCTACCCCACGAAAACATAACGATTGACGCTATTATCAACTCGATTGAAGTCTCCAATTCAACTCTGTTGTTGGACTTTTTGACTCGTTTAAATATCCACTTTGTTATAATTCTTTTCATATTTATAAATTAACTTTTAATATATATATATCTATCTATCTATACTATTATAAAGTGAACACATAATATGGTGTCCTGAAACTTGCTTTACTCTCCTCATGTCATGTGGCAGTATTTTTTATTTTTAAAAAAAAAGTTAAACAAAAAGATGGGCAAGGCTTGAACCCATGACCATGGGTTTAAGTACGAGGACTCATACCACTTAAGCTAAGTACACATTATAGTATTAATTTCATTATTATTTTTTTTTATTCCTACTTATTTAAATTGCACACACATCGTGTGTGCCACCCACTTGTATGTATATATATAATTCAACTCTTTTTTGTTTGAGGTAAGTAAAAACATAATGCACTCGTCTAAGACTATGCAATTAAAACAGTTATAAAAAATAAAATAGATTAAAAAATTATTAAGATAAAATATCAATCTAAATTATAATTATTTTATTTTTTTTCTCTCAAAAATTAAAAAATTCATTTCAAACGAAACTTTTTAATCCCAAATTAAAATAATCAAAAAAATAAAAAATCAACCCACATCAATATAATATATAGAGGGAAAAGGAAGCATCAAGAGAGTCGAACCCTTAATACGATGAGCATCGCATCAAATGCATAATGATTGAGCTAGGATGCAAACTCAATTTTCTAACATATTTGTAAATAATCTCATTCCAATTGCAAAATAAAAATAACTTGCAGTCCCAAAAAAAAAAAAAAGAAGCCGCCCACTGGAAGGGTAATGTGGTTTCTTTCCAACTTTGAACACAATCCACCCCCAATAATGGCACACCGCCCCTAGTTTTATTAAAGCCAATGAATTCAAAATCAAGAAACAACCAATTAGAGTAAAGTTTCCCACATAAAAGAATGCATAAAAGTAAAGCCTAGTTGATGCATATATAATGTATGGTATACATATGTGAATTGTCACTTTTTCTCATTTCCAAATTATTCTTATCCAATTACCTATATATAATTACTTTTAAATTTTGATTTCAAATTTTAAATTTTAGTACTTTTTAATTTTTTTTCCAATATAAATTGTTGATTTTCATAACATACTCATCGAATGTGCATACTTTTTAATATTATGTATAGTCTATACCTAAATTAGTGTAGGTTTGTCATGCTTTTAGTTTTTTTTTCAAAATAACGCAAAACATGATAACTGTAATGGGATTTGAATTACTTCAATTCTCTCAAATTTAAGAGTTGTTGGTGAAGTGTTATTTTTTTGACTTTTTACGGGAAAATATAAAATGTTGGTTAGAGTTGAAGTGATATAATAAAGAGATGATATGACCTAAATAAAAATGATATAATCCAAATACGATAATATACTATTTTAACACATGACAACACCTTAATTTACTTCAAATAACTAGAATATTTATTTCACACAAATAGTGAATGCCCACACTTCTAGTATGATATAATGTGCACGCCATTTTGGTATAAATACAAGTTATGTCACGCTTTATAATTTTTCAAAATTTCTCCCAAAACAAGGTCACATTCCAGATAGTTGTAATCGTCATCTATTTTTACAAATCCATCGCGTGCACAACTGCTATACGCCTATATATATATATATATTCTATTATATAATGCAAAAAAATAATTAGTGTTAACATTTTTGTGTTCCATAATTTTTATTTTTAAATTATTCTTTTGTAATTAACAATTCAAGCACATGTCATTTTGTAACAACCGATTGAATTAGTAACTCTCAATTTCCACTCACATAAAAATTTCAAGTGCATATATGTGAGTGCACACAACATATACGCAGAGAGAGAGAGATCACATGATGGAAATCAATAGAAAGAGGCATGAGTAGAAAAATAAAATATACAAAACTTTAGTGTATAAGAGAAGGCTCCGAATCACATGGTGGTGTGAATTGAATTTGGACCCAAGTACTTTTGCTTCCACTTTCCAAGGCACCCAAAAACAATTCTACTGTCAATATGGTTATGGTCAACCTGCAACTATCATTTCTTCAAATTAACTGCCTCCAAGTATAGTAATAATATAAAGTCTCTATCTATCTATCTACCCCCCATGTCTTTGCCTATATAAACCCCAATTACTTAAAAGCTTCTTCATTCATACTTCCATAGCTTCTTCATTCTGAATCTGAATAGGAGAGGAGAGAAGGAGAGGAGGAGATATGGAGATCCCTGTGATTGACTTTAATAAGCTTGATGGTGAGAAGAGAAGTGAAACCATGGGCCTTCTCCACCAGGCTTGTGCAAACTGGGGCTTCTTTCAGGTAATGAGCATGAAATTTTACCTGGTTTTGGTTGTGTTTTCGTTTTTTTTTTTTTTTTTTTTTGAAAGCCATTACTTTGTATGGAGAGTTATTTTCAAAAATTATTTTTGGAAATTTTTTTATCAAAACAACCCACCTTTTAAGAAGGGAAAATCATACTTAACTTCATTGAGGTTTGAAAAAATAAAAAAATAAAAAAACAAACAAACAAACAAATAAATAATATGTTTTTATAAATTTGACATAATTATATTAAGCCCTCTTAAAATTTTAATTTACATAACATTTAGGGTCCGTTTGGATGGATATGAATTCAAATCAAGAGATTTGAGCTTAATTATTTAAGGACAAGAACTCAAATTTAAATATGATAGTTTACTTATGAATTTTAAAATTGAGTCAAATAACTTTATCACCATGGATGTAAAATAACTACACAAGATGTGTTACTAGAAATCATGCTAAAAATTCACTTTCTAGCTACAAAGGATCCTACTAGTACTGACATATATGTCTTCCATCATAACTTATTTTCTTCCATTATTTTTTTTATATATTTAATCTCAAATTCTTTGATTTGAAATACATATCCATCCAAATAGACCCTTAGTTCTTTTTCTTTTTTTTTATCATAATTTGTTAGTCATATTGATATATTAATAATGCTGTCTCTTCTTTTACATTAAATGTAAATTTTACCTTATTTTCAAACCATTGCACTACTTTTGGTCCCCTTAGCCTGGTGTAATTATGTACTATAAAATTTACTGTATTTTTTTCAAACCTCAAGGAAAGTCAATATAATTTACCCTTTTAAGAAACCTAAAAAGTTGCTTTCAAACATTTAGAAAGTGTTTGAGTGTGCAAGTTGCATACCATATGCACTTGTATAAATTTTCACAAATATATGTAAATTATCTTACAAAATCGCATAAGTTTACACAAACAACCCATAAAAATTTGAGAAATCACAACTTACATATATTTGTAAAAACTTACGTGATTTTGTAAGATAATTTGTGTATATTTGTGAGGGCTTATATAAATGTATATGGTATGCACTTACACACTTAAGAATTGACTATTTGGAAATTGTTTACACACAAAAAAGACAATGATATGAAAATGTGGGTGTTTTTGTACTTTTCATTGCTTCTGTTTCCAAACACATTGAAAATTAAAACAAAACAACAAAACTGAAGACAACCAAACAGGCCCTAATGATCTCATCTGAGCTTACAATCTAAACTTTATCCAAATTTTGACATGCTTTACGTCTGTAGATTGAGAACCATAGAATTGACAAAGAGTTGATGGGAAAAGTTAAGCACTTAGTGAATCAGCATTATGAGGAGAACATGAAGGAAAGCTTCTATGAGTCAGAGATAGCCAAAGGCTTGGAGAACAAAAGCATTACCTCTGACATAGACTGGGAAAGTGCCTTTTTCATCTGTCATCGTCCAAAGTCAAACATCGATAAGTTTACAAACCTCTCAGATGATCTTTGGTGAGTTGTTATCAAATTTCACCTTCAAACTTCTTGCGTGAAACATAATGCATCAGAGACTACAAACCAGGATGAATTAGCATCAGCAATGCCAAAACACATCAACAATACTATATAAGCTATTTATTGACTAGACAATCTAAGACCAGTACTTAATTTCTTTAATCATTTAAGAGCTTGTTTTGTGATGCAGCTAAAAAAGCTGCTTTTTGGCTAAAGTCAAAAAGCAACTCAACTTTTTCACTCACAAAAAAGTAACTTTTTTACCAACTTCTCATACACATTAGCTTTTTTAACTTCTTAAAAAAAACCAAAAAACCACTAAAAAAAGTCAATACCAAACAACCTATTAGCATAACATGTTAAATTTTATGCACTTGTATGTCTCCTAACCTAACAAATGAAAGAAACATACATGCAGCAAAACTATGGATGCATACATTGATCAACTGATCAAGCTAGCAGAAAAGCTATCTGAGCTCATGAGTGAGAATCTTGGGTTAGAGAATGATTACATAAAGGAAGCATTTTCAGGAAGCGAAGGTCCTTCTGTGGGAACCAAAGTTGCAAAATACCCTCAATGTCCTCGACCTGAACTTGTTAGAGGACTTCGTGAGCATACAGATGCTGGTGGAATCATTCTCTTGCTCCAAGATGACCAAGTCCCGGGTCTTGAATTCTTCAAAGACGGTAAATGGGTAGAAATTCCACCTTCAAAGAACAACACAATTTTCGTCAACACAGGAGACCAAGTGGAAGTGCTAACTAATGGAAGGTATAAGAGTACCTTGCACCGTGTAATGGCTGACAAGAACGGAAGCAGAATATCCATCGCCACTTTCTACAATCCCGCAGGAGATGCTATCATTTCTCCAGCTCCCAAACTCTCATATCCCAATCACTTCCGTTTTCAAGATTATCTGAACCTTTATGCAACAACTAAGTTTGCAGACAAGGGCCCCAGATTTGAAACCATGAAGAAAATGTCAAATGTCCATCAGAGTCTTCTTGTCTAGAAGAATAATTACTTTATGTTTTGTGTTTTTGCTTACTCAGTATCTATGCAAGCTCTGTTTAGCCTTGTGTTCTTCTAATTTCCAGGAGAAACTAATATAATGTCGCTTCCTTGAATTTATACTATATTGTTTGGACGTCACTGATATACAACTCTATGATTTGTTGAGTCAATCATCTCACGAGCCTTCGCTCTGTAATTACTTTCCAAGAACAAAGAAAACCCTTGAAAGAAGGTAAATAGAACTCTTTTGTATGAATCAATCGCAACAATTCAATGATAAGGGGCAACAACTATGATCAATTAGCAACAGCTGCCATGATGGCTAATGCTATCAGTATAGCCATCTAATATATGAAGAATATGGTGTCATGTGGATTTTCTTTTCCTTTTAGCATAGAGTTTTGCCAGGAATAGACCACAAATTGATAATTCACCACTCCCCTGCTTATGCAAAATAACAGATTTTCTTATGCAAACCAACACCGCATCTTGTTTTCTTATTCCCTATGTTTGAATATTTGGAAAATCTTAAATTATTTTTAAAGATTAAAACACCTAAAGGTTCCTTGCGTATAACAAAAGGTGCTAAACAAAATCTGAATCATTACTTATGAATGGTGGATATCAATGGACTTCTTTGAGCTGACCTAAAGTGGAGCAAACTGTTTGCATCCAACTTCATATATCAAGGGATCTCAAGAGGTTGGTTGACGAAAATGCCATTATTTATGATGCTTCATATTACCTGATTTTCATTTACTTTGTGTATTATATTACATTTTCCCAAAAGTTGAGTTACAATTCAATGTGGGTTGGTTATGATCGCATGTGGTTCCTGATATGTAGTTTTTCTGTGACAAAAAAGAAAAAAGAAAAAAATTAGCATATATGGTCCTAGATACATAACAATGAAATTAGCTTTGAAGTGACACCTGGCAGTTTTTCATCTTTGTTTTTGAAAAGCTCAGCAAAAGAAGTCTTCCAAAAATACATTTCTAGAATATCACAATGTAGCCAATTTTGATAATACAGATTTGGTCACAAGAGAATCAGTATGTTCAACTGCTTCAGTCAATGAAAGCTTGTGAGACTTTAGTAATGGAGCACACTTGTTCACTAAACATAACAAAAAATTTCCAAACTTCAGAGATTTGGAAAACCTCTCAGCTGAATCCAGAAGCCGATTAACAAGTTGGTCTGCCGAATCTTGAGTCAAATGAATATTATGATTCAACATATTTTGGAACAAGTTAAACAACGATTCTGTCCATACCAACTCATGTGATATCATATATTGGTGGCATGGTAGGCACACAAACTTTCTCACATCAACTTCTCCACAAAGCAGCTTGTGGCAGAATGATGAAACATGAGCTCGGTGCAAGCATTCTTTAACGATCTTTGTAATCAAATCACAACTAGCTTTGTTAATACCCTCTGTTCTGAGGATAAGTGGAAACAACAATGCATACACAGCAGCCCTCTGATGAACCTTGCAGTACTCTATCGTTGCAGTCACTAGAACACGAGAAGCTGGCTCTTCTAGTAGTAACAACTTGGGAAGAACAATAGAGCAGAGAACATGACTCGGCCAACCAAGTTCTTCTTCACTTCCATTGGAAAGATTAGAAACCAGAATTGAAGCAGTCTCATCATCCGATTTCCAAGGTTCGATTAAACCCAATACCGTCAAAGAATCTCCCCCTCTTTCCAAGCAAAGTTGGCGAATTTCATTCGCCAAGCTCACGCTTCTAGAAGTAGACTCAAAAGTCAGTACCTGTGCTTTCAAAGAAATGGCCATTGCTTCGATTTCAGGATCTATAGGACCATTAACAATGTTCACTTCCCTCGTAGCTTCATTCAGATTTTCCTTTTCATCCTCTTCGACTTCAATCAATGAATCCTCGTCATCTACATATGTATCAAGGGCCATTTTTGAATTCAATTCATCTCGCGAAATGGGAAGCCAAGGAAGAAGCAAATCATTGGCGTTTATTGCCTCATCCTTAAGCCAATTTGGTAACGATTCAAACTCGTTTTCCACTCTTTCTTCGTCAGAATCCAAATTCAAACAAGAAACCCATTCATAATTTGATTCAGACATTGTGTCGAGCACCTGATGTGCAGCTTTCTTGACCCAAAAATCAAGCTCATCAGCCCCACTCAACATGTTTCGGGCAAGTTTAGTCAAGTCTCGAGCGCAAAATCGACTATGCTCCAAAGCAAGAAACGATAGAATTCGAAACTGCACTGCGTTGGGAAGCGTCTGAATCCACATAACCCTGTTCAACCCAGAAAAGTTTAACCAACTTAACAATGAAAACAATTGATACATACACATACAATGTATTTATATATGTGGGTTTTTTACCTCTTGGAATGAGGAGTTGAGGGGTGTGAAGGAGAAGAAGAATCGATGACAATGGCGTCGGAGGGTTTTGAGAGCAACGAAAGGAAAGAGTTTGTGGTAATGGTGGGGGTGGATGAGGCGTCGAAAGAGTGATGAAACCATCGAGAGGCCTCTGTTTCAGGACATGGGGAGTTCAAGAAAATGTCCAAGAGTGGGACCCATGACTCCATCTTCTTTCCTTCCCTCTCTTCTGACTTCTCTGCCCTAGGCCTAGGTAAGGAACAGAGTTTCCAGTTACCCTTTTCACTTCGAGAAATTCCCGGATAATACGCGGGAAAGTTTAACGAACTAGTTTTCCCGAGAAAATTTATTTAATTTTAGAGTTCCTGAAACTCGTAGCCTAACAGACCAATAAATGCTGGAATTTGGGATTGAACCAGTGACTGTAAAAATGACAAGTTAGCAACATTTTTCCTTAGTCATCAACGCTTACTAAGGGCATCCCAATGGATGTGTTAAAATTATGTGTTATATAATAAAAAAATATTAAAAGTGAGATTCAAAAATATATGTTAATTTATTAATTTAGTGAGTAAATAGTGAATGAATGGTAATATAATGGATGTGTTAAGAGGTGTGTGTTAAATATATATATATATATATATATAATAAATAAAATAAATAAATAATTTAGTTTAATCAAAAATTTCAAGTCCAAAATTAAATTTCAAGTCTAAAAAAAAATCCCAACAAGTTAAAAAAAAAAAAAAATTGCCTTTGATTGGTCAACCTGCCGGTCAACCGGTAAAACAAAAAAGCGTTCCCCTTCGCTAGCTAAAACGCTAGCTGCAAATGACAAACATTTTACCACACACCACTAATACACTTACTAAAAGCTCCATTGTGAGAGCAAAAACACAAAATGACTTGCTAAAAAATAGCAACTGACACTAAAACACTTATAAGCAGCTTGACTGTGGATGTTCTAAGGCTTGGTTTGGCAAGTTAGTAAAAAGTCAGCTTTTGACTTTTTTAGCCAAAAAAAATAGTTTTTTTTATCCAAATCACTACCCAAAAAGCTAGATTTTTTGGTTAAAAAAAATCAAAAGTCAACTTTTTACTAACTTTTCAAAACACTACTAAATCCTTCACTAAATTTAAATTTGGTAATTTTTTTTTTTTGTATTCTAATGATTTCATCAAATCTGTATTAAATTGAGAATTTAAAAAATATTTTACCAAACTGGGGATCTGGGCCACCTTTTACCATTTTACTTCATATGACTGTTGAGGTAGGACCCACTAGACGACTGGCCGGATGTCCCCCAGTCATCCTCTTCCTTGAACAATTCCCACAAAAATAGGTAATACAGAGGGTTGGAAAATGGTTTGTGCAACCATGATTTTTGGCTAACTTTGAGCCTAAATTGAGATGGACTCCGGACACTGATTGAGATGTGTCTGAGTAGAAACACGTTCTTTGTCATGTGGTGATTCATTTTGTATATTTGGTTGTTCAAACTATTTTCCAGGTGAATACGAAATTGACTTCGAAAGAGATTTCGACAACATGGTAGTTGAACAAATTCAAATTGAATGTCTCTGGTTTCTTCATCAACAATGAGTTCACTCAAATCTTCAAGATCAATCTTCATCAACAATGAACTCATATTCCCAAATTCAATCTTCACAAAGCCCCCTCCCCCACCCCCATTTCTGATTCTTCATCAACAAAAAAATCGAACAACAATGAGTTCACAAGCACCCAAGTCTTCAAGATCTTCAAACACCCAGAACCAACCTTCAAGATCACCTTTCTCTTCATGGTTAAGCTGAAGCAAAGAATCCTCACTTCTCTCTCTAAGCTCTCTGACAGAAGTGAGGTTCGTATATGCAGGGTTATAATTCGTGAAGCAGATATAATAGAAAAGCAAGTTAATGCTAAGAGTTCATGTTTATCTATAACAGGAAAGTTGTTGAAAGAGGCGAAGAAGTTCTTGGTGAATAAGCCCTTTGTTAGACTTAAAATCAAGTCCTCCCCCTCTCTCTCTCATTTGCCTTTTTGGTTTTTTGTTTTTACCTTTTCTGGATCAAGTCATTGTAACCATGGCTTATTTGTCCTCATCTTTTACGCTGACCTCTGGTTTCAAATTGTGATTTTTTTGCACTCACTGGTCAACCGATGATTCGATAAAAAATCAAATTTTTTCGTTGGAGCAAGTGATATCAAAGAGAGTTTTTACTTAAATTTAGTGAAAAAAGTAATGCACCGTTTGAGATGCCTTAGGGGAGGGTTGGGTTTAAATAGTTTATTAGAAGATAAAATAAGTTAAAATAATAAATAAGATAAAATATTATATTAAATTTATAATTATTAAATCAATTAAAAAGATTAATTAACTTTTTTAAATACAATTTTTTTAGTTAGATTTTGTCAACTATACATTTTAGTTAAAAAGTCACTATAAGTTGTCAAATTATTCTTTTTATTTTTCTATATATTTGTCAACTATACATTTTAATTAAAAAGTCACTATAGATTGTCACATTACTCTCTTTACTTTTTTGTATATTTTTTCATAAATAATTAAAAAATTATTAAAATAATTTAGTCCTAGACGTAGTGCAAAATAATTAAAAAGTCGAACAACTAATTAGAATAGTCAACTTTTGTAGGCATTAGTGTTGGTTTGGAACATGCTATTTTGACTTTTCTTTTTAATTAAAAAATTATGTGAATAAAATTAATATGTTTCTAATACGTTTTTAACTTTTTACAGAAAAACGTTTAAAAAAATATAAAATTTTTGACTTTTTGTATCATTATTTAGTTCCTATTTAGCATAAATTAAGGGCAAGTTTGGGATCTTTCAAAAAAGATAAAGAGATAAAAAGTTACTTAAAAAGTTAAAAAGTTAACACTATTCACCAAAAGTCAACAATTACGGCTGCACAACTCTCAATTCGAATTTTTTCCTATTATTTTTTTTATATATATTTTTATAAAAAGTCAAAAAATATATTTATTTAGATTATCTCAAACAATTTCTTAATTTTTTAAAATTTTTAATAACTTTTTAATTTTTTATCTATAAAACTTTCCAAATTTATCCTAAGAATTAATATCAATACATAATAAAAATATTTTAAGTAAAATTTTATTGGTTGCATCCACCACCACCACCTCACCTAACTAGTAAGGGACTTACATGTAAATCTCAATAAGTAGACTTATTATCCAATAGGTTCTAGGATAAGCAATGATATTTTTCATCAAATATTATTAAAAAATATCACTGATTGTTAATTTTCAGTGATAATTTAAAATTGTTAGACTTATTTATTTTGATAATTTATTTAATTATATTTTAATTTATTTGAAAAAGAAAAAATGAAATCAAAATTTATTTTGATGATTTATTTAATTATATTTTAATTTATTTGAAAAAGAAAAAATGGAATCAAAATTTATTTTGATGATTTATTTGAAACAGAAAAATAGAATCAAAATTTATTTTGTCCCATTATTTCTCACCTAAATCTTTATTCTAAATGTTGTTAGAATGTATTTAATATTTGATTAAATCAGGAGTTTAAACAACTCAAAACAAAGGTTCAAACAACCTAGCACAACAGCAGGCCAAAATGTTCAAAAGGTTTAAGTAGAAGATATTCAAATTAGTAATGATGGAAGTACAACGGCTATAAATGGTTATAAAAAGTTTAAAAGGCCAAAAGGTTTAAAAGGTTCAAGTAGAAGATATTCAAATTTGTAATGATGGAGTGGAAGATATTCAAATTGGTAATGATGGAAGTACAACGGCTATAAACGGTTATAAATTCAAATGACTACAATTGCTATAAACGACTATAATTTTCATTATATATACCAAAATCTCTAATGTAAACAAGTTACAAAAAACCTGAAAATATTCTTTGATCTATAATAACTCACATCTATTCTCAGAAATTATACACTGAGCCTTATAGCTTTAAGCCCATCTTTCATGTGTGAGATTTACAAAAAAATTAAAGTTTCATTTTATATATCTATCTTTGAGAGATATTTATTAGGGGAAATTACCCACAGGTCCCATGTGGAACATGTAAACACCATTTAATCCCATAACTTTTTGGGTACACCCAAAAGTCCTTTCCTCCATCTCTCTAGTTTTTTCCTCCCTTTTTACGTTTTCTTCTTTCTCTTTTTTTCTGCATTTTTCTCTTATCGTCTTCGTCATAGACGATGGTGCAAGTGTTTATGTCTTTTTCCATTGATCGGGCTTCACTGATAACCGCCAACCATCGAAATCAACTCGTGATTTCACTCTCACCGACGGCGAAGATATATATTTCCGACGAAGAAGATGAGTGGATCTACTTAGATCTGATGTAGATCTACTCAAATCTACATCAGATCTGCGTAGATCTACATCAGATTTGGCTAGATCTAAACAAAAAAATAATTGTCGGAGTACAATCCTCTCTCTACATCTACCTTTCTCCTTCGATCTCTTTTTTTTTTCTCTGCTATACACTTCTGTTTTTCTGTTCTAATGGAGAAAATTTTCGAATTCTGAACAAATAGTTTTCGAGTTTTAGGTACAGGCGGTGAAAACTGTAAAATTTTGCAGTTTTAAAATTTTTTTTGGTGCTGGAATGAATCATGGTTTAAAACTGTAAAATTTTGCAGTTTTATAGCATTCTTTAGAACTGTAAAATTTTGCAGTTTCATAACATGTTTTTTAATTTTTTTTTTCTGGCAATATTCTAGACATTTCGGTGAGTCTTCGGCGACCGTTAAACGGAAGTCCGACGGTAGTAAGATGTAAACAGTGTCTGTAAATTAAAAAAAAAAAGATTTTTTGGTAACAATTAAAAATGTATTGGACTAATTGGTACAAGTATTTTATTTTGGGATTAGCTGGATCTTGAACTTGGTACATGGGACTTATCAGTAAGTTCCCCTATTTATTATAAGCTTTCTTTGAAAACAAAAATACCATTTCATCTTATAAAAGTGTTGCAAACATTGTGTTCTTGAAATCTTGAGAGTGATTGTGAATCACCTAAGATTTGCAAGGGTTTGGGCTTGTGAAGTCTATGTAAAATCCGTGGAGGATTGCTCCATTTGTAAAGAGGTTGCTAGCACCCCTATGAAGCTAGAAGATAGTGAAAAATCTCAAGTGAAGCTTGAGGAGTGGATGTAGGCTTGGTTGAAGCCGAACCACTATAAATCTGTTTGTCTCCTCTTCCCTAATCTCTTTACTTTCCTACTACTGCTTTAGCTATCTAATATTCATGTGTTAATTATTTGATTTACTCTGTATGTTAGTTATACTTCATTGTTATTTTGCTTGATCATTTATTGCTAAGTTCATCATTGTGCTTGTTAATAATTTGTTGTATTAGTAGTTAATTTTATTGGGGTATTATTAATTTTAATTTGTAGAAACCTAATTCACCCCCCCTCTTAGGTTGCTTTTTTGGTA